GGAGGGGCATGGTGGCCCGCGTGAAGTGGATGTCCTGGGCCAAACCAGGGAGACAGAGGGTGGTCGCGCGCGCGTGCTCAAGTGGGCTGAGGTGCATGCAAACGCGGTGCGTGTGCATGCGTGTAAGCAACAGGCGCGAGCCGGCGTGTAACAGCGGGAGTGGTGCTGCGCAAGCTGGGGCAGAAGGTCTGACGGAAACGCGACGGTGGTAGCAAGACACTGCCGGGCACACAGCTGGCCTCGCCTCTGCCCAGCCATACGCGCGGCGGTCCCTGCGTTGCGCTGCCCACATCGCCCCGCCAGTGCTGCGTCCCGGCTTCCAGCACAGCTGTTCTGGTCTGCGGTAATCAAACGGCGTGGCCTGCCTTCTGGGAGGTACGCATTGGCCGGGGCGCCCCCCCCCTAACCCCCCAAAAAACCAGGGGTGCCCCCACCATCCGAGAGAATCCCGCCCGCACTCACGGCACATGCCAGCAGTATGCAAGGAGGGGGGGCCGCCGCCTCCCACCTGCATGTTGATCTTCATGGCCGTGAGGCTCTCCAGTTTGGGCAGCACCATGCGGCTGAAATCCAGGAAGGGGCGGTCGCACTGGAGACAGGTGAGATGGGGGCGGGCAGGGTTGAAATCCAGGGAGGGGCTAGTGCGCTTGAGAGGGGGTGGGCGCATAAAACCGTGTTTGGGGCGCAGCACACGCGTGCACCACAGCACCACTTTGCGGGCTCCAGGTCGCGCAAGATTGATGTACGATGTTGCGGCGCTCTGAGATTGTCGGTTTGCCACGTGCCCCTGCGCCCCCCGCAACCCTCCTCCCATCCCGCTCTCCCCCCACCAACCTCCCAGTCTGCTGGGATGATGCTGAGTGCCTCGCAGTTGGTGAACCTTGACAGCCCGTCCACCTGTGACTGGCTGGGGGCCACCTTGATGCGGATCTTCCTGACTAGGCTGGGGGTGGCAGAGGTTCATGGAGGGAGGGGAGTGTGGAGGTGATGAGCGGTGTTATATTGAGCCTCAGGGGCGGACGGCGCTGCGAGATGCCGGCCAGCACAGGCCTGTGGGGCTGCGGCCCCGGAAGGGTGTCATGCCAAAAGACACGGCGCGACAGCAGCAGCCGTAGGGCTTCCAGCGACCGTGGCAGGATCAGTTGCGCCCCGCTTGTCCCGGGGCGGGCAAGCAGGTACATCCACCTGGGCAGCTGCGCATAGAAAGCCTTGCACACCAGCATGCCTCTCAGCTGGTCTTCTACTGGCAGGTGATCGTAAATGTTCTGTTTGGGTATCGGAAAAGGACTGTCAAGAGGCGCTGTTGGCAGCGACGGGATTGGTGTGTTTCCACGAGAGCGCAGCAGGAGCACAAGCTTGAGCAGCGGCTGCGCATGCCTCGCCATGGACGTACCATCCACAGGCCGACCATTGTGGCGTCTCCCAGAGATAAATCTGCATTCATCTTGCCCACACTGGCGCCTAAGCTGCGCTCGGTAGATCACGGCAGTGGAGATCAGCGAGAACGCCGAGACCTTGCCGCGGCACTTCGCACATGCAAAGAAGGGTTTGTAACATAACGCCCCTCAACTTTGTTCAAAGTGGAAGTATGTAGAGGTGCATGTGCTGCACGATGTGTACCGCACATTGTTCTAGCGTCGAGGTGGGTGACGGCACTGCATCGGCGCTCCCCCTTGCCGGCTCAGGGACGGCCTCCATCAGGGAGGCTCCCTGTCTCGTGATCGGATGACAGCTGCAATAGTGGCTGAGGCACGTCTGAACAAGGGCTGACAGAGGCAACACGGGCAGAGCCTCACACTGCTGGTGTGATGACGGTCGTCCAGCTGGACAGGCCAGGCGCTCAAGCATGTGTGAACTGGATTCGCAACATGCGTTTGTGCCAATTGCAGGGGATGGTGTGCACACAGCGGTGTGCACACTGTCGTATAAGAAGGTCCTTGTTTTGAACGGCTTGTGAGGCCGAAACATCCTACCAGGATCTATCGGGTCCTGCTACAGCTGCTCCGGTGCTTCCAGAGGCACTCGCCTTGCGCGAGAAAACCCCCGCCAACCTAGCAGGCTGTCTGCAGCGTACTGACTTAAGTCAAATCCCATCAGCTGACTCTGCTAGGTTTCGGCCACCCTCCAATCATAAGACGATCTCTGTGACCTAAATGCTGGCTTCATCGCATGAGCTCAATACATGCATGCCCAGCTTGCCGATAAAGCAGCACTGCGGCCTGCTAGCTTTGATGAGATGGAAGGGAGGCGTTGAAGTCACTTGGAATGCTGGGGACCCTGCGCTGTATGCAGCGGGGCACTGCGTGCGTGGTTGCCCAGCGGCCTGCGTGGGGTAGTGCTGCTGCACACATGCAATACTGCCCGCCAGGCTGCTTTGGTTCACACAACAGTACTGCCGCGGCTCCTACTGTTGCAGCCGGCCCCTTGCAGCAGGCGAGTTATCACACGGCAAGCACGCTGCAGGGTGATGCAAAGCGCCGGCAGGCGTCAAAGGCCTCGCGCCGGCCGATCATTGCTCCTCGCTGCTAATGCATGGTTGGTGAAGCGTGTGGCGTGTTGCTGTGATGAGGAGCGTGTCGGGGCGGCGACCAGCAAAGATGCTCATGAGGGCCCGCGGAAGGGGAGGAGACCCTTGCAAGAGAACCTGCGACGGCCACTCAACTTGGGCGGGGCAGGCTGCAGCAGCCTGCCGGCGCGGTGGCGATCAGGTGGCCTCGCGCAGACCGCGCAGGTCACACCAGTCAACCGCGCACCGCTGCCCAAAGCCCACACAACTGCCAACGCAAACCATGCTCAAGGCGCAGGCACTCCACTCCTCCGCTGCGAGTGCGGTCTATTCCTGACGCTGGAGCATCAGCACAAAACATTGGGGACGAGGGGCGTCGGCGCGGGGTGGCGCAGCTGTGTGCGTCGTGCAACAACGGGCCGCAGCCCAGCTGGCGCACCGCATGACGCGCATCATGCGCGCGCTCAGACGTTCTGGACACGACTGGCGGGCAGCGGCCGGCAGCGCAGCTCCACCGGCCTCAGCGACAGGCGCGCTGGAGCGCGCTGCGCTGTGGGCCCACGAGGACGAGAAATCTGGGTCAAACCCTGCAGCCTGCTGGACAGGCGACACGGCCCGCTATGGCGTAGGCAAGCACCCGTGCTTGCCGGGCCCGCAGCCCGCGCCCCGCGCGCGATCCGTGCGACGAACCCGGGCAGTGCAAGCAGCAGGCCGCAATCCTATGAGCTCAAAAGGGCGCGAGCTTTGCTCTCGTTTGGGTCTCGCCCACAGCCGTGGAATCGAGGCCGGGACGCGGGTGCCCCAGATACGTACACACACGCACGCACAGAGTGCGCGGCGTACGTGCCGCGTCTCAAACATGAGTCGCATTGGCTGTGCCCCAGCCGCGGTTCAGGTATGCAATTGCATGATCGGCAGCAATGGGCGTGCGGGCCTGGTTGGAAGTAGCCTTAGTGCCGCCCAGAGTAGCTCATCAGCGGATGCACCAGATCTCTACCCACCCAAAAAAATCCACCTCTCCACAGGACAAGATCCAGAAGGATGCATCCACGGACGCTTTTGGGAAGGCTCACAGCAAAGCGCAGCCAGGGCGCCCACGCCTCGCGTTGCCCGCAGAGCAGGGCGCGGGGCCCCGCGCCGCGTGCGGTGGCCGCGGTGAGCGCCGCCTGGCATGAGCAGTAGCCTGGCGTTCAAAGGACAGAAGGGCAGCTGCCGGATGCAAGTCCCGATGAGGGAGGAGGTCAGGGGGTTGGGGGTGGGGGGCTAGCAAGCGACACCTCCTGTGTTGCAGCCAACTGGAAGCCGGCAAGTCGTAGAGGCTCATGAAAATGCTACGGGCGGCGCGCTGCCGTGGCGACCGGCCTGTTCAGTTCCTCGGCAATGAGTGCGCAGCGTGTTCGGCCCGCAAGTGCATCCTTGGCCCACGGGTAGGGCGCACACGGCGCGTTGAGCGGCACACGGGCGCGGGCGGCTGGCGCGCCGCCCGTCAAGCTAGCATCACAAATGCTGGGTGGCGAGCGCAAGCCGCGCCCAGCCCTTGATGGCAGCGGCGCGTCAGGTGCACAGCGCTGGCCGGTGTTGAGGCAGGGCATGGATCCCAAATCAAGTGGCCCGCACACGGTCGAGGCAAGTTAAGTAGGGTCCATTTGGCAGTGCTTCCATCGCAATGTGGCCCCCAAGCAGTCTAAGGGGTCGCTGGCGCGGGGCTGTCCGGCCCGCCCCACGATCAGGGGCGCCTCTGGGGGCTGTGAGGGCCTTGGGAGACCGGGGGCTTGGTTGGGCCGGGCGCAGTGTTCATCAAAACATGTTGCAGCCGGAATGGGGCCGTGGTGACTGGAACCGGGTGCGTGCTCATGGGCAGCGCCACGGCCGGCAGCAAACAAGGTCGCTCGTGGCTCCCTACACATGTGGCCGGAGCAAGAGCAGGGGGAGCAGGAGGGGGGCGAGGGGGGACGCCAGAAGACAGACTGCCGCATCGACAGGGCCTGTCCCTGGACTGCAGGTGCTCGAGGGTGGAAGCCATGCAGTCAACAACTAGAGCTCTGCAGGGCGGCCCGGGAACGGGCGTCTGTGAAGCAGGCTGCGGGCGGCGTGTGCCAAGGGGCGGCAAGCCAGCCGTACCGCCCAGCCAACCCCAAGCGTCACTCAGCAGTGCGCGGCAGCAAGTCCGCGCCCTGGGGTGCAGAGGCCGGCGCCCCCGCAGCCTCGCCTGGCTCCAGCTTGATCGCCGCCGCTGCGTCCAGCCCAACCCCTGCGCCCGCGCCGCCGGCCCCGTCGCCGCCCGACGCCAGCCGCGCGACCGGCGCCTGCCCCAGCGCGGCGCCGGACAGCGCCGACCCGCGCCGCGAGCGCGGCGTCGCGGGCGGCGGCTTGGCGCAGGCGTACGCGAAGAAGAAGTCGCGGGGGTTGACGCCCGGTGACGTCAGCGCCTCCTCCAGCTCAGGCCCCACCTCGAAAGGCCCCAGCCATTCCACCGGCTCGTCCTTGCCCACCTGGCGCCCGCGCCACGTCGGCGACGCCGGCCGGGCGGGCGCCGCCTGCTGTTGCTGCTGCTGCTGCTGGTCCTGCTGCTGTGGCTGTGCTGCCGCGCCGCCGTCGTAGGAGCGGCGGCTGACGAGCAGCTCCTCGGTCTGGCGGTACAGCGTGGGCTTGGGCAGGAGGTACACCAGAACGCGCGCCCACCGCACCTCGCCGCGCCGCCCAGGGCCGGGCGCGGCGCCGGCGCCGGCGGGGGAGGGCGGGCCGGCGCCCGCGCCACCAGGCGCCGCAGCGGGCAGCACGGCCGAGGGCGCTGATTCCATGGCTGCCGCCATGTGCGCAGCGATGCGCAATGCCAGAGGCGCCGCCGCGCTGGCGCCCGCGCCGGCGGTCCCGCTAGCGCCTGCGCCGGCGCCCGCCGCCGCCCAGACCGGCGCCGACGCCTCCGCGCTCGACGGCCGCCTGCGGCGCGGCTGCGCGCGCAGCACCCCCAGGCGCGCCTCGGGCTGCCCCAGGCTGATGAGCAGGAAGGTGCCGCCAGGCGCCAGCAGGCGGTGCGCCTCGGCCACATAGTTGCGCGCGTCCCCCAGGCCCGTCCCGCTGCACAGCACCGCGTCCAGCGTGCCCTTGTCCACCACGGCGCCGAAGCAGCCGTCGTCAAACTGCGGCATCGCGCGGCAGTCGGCGACCTCCCAGCTGCAGTTGCGGCGCGCGGGGCCGTCGGGCCAGGTGGCGGCCTCGGCGCGCATCTGGGCGATGACGACCGGCGAGATGTCGGTGTTGACGACCTGCCGCATCATGGGTCGAGGGATTTGAGGGGTGGGGTGGGGTGGGGGTGCGGTGCGCGGGCCGGAAGGAAATGGTGACTCCGTGATCGTGCACATGGTGCAATGAGCATGCGCAAGGGCAGGGGCAACAGGAGGGGCGTCAACCTCGGAAGCTGCTGCCCCAAGCCTGCAGGGCCCACACGCGACCGCCTGTGACACGAGCCCTCTCCATCCCCCCACACCCCAACTATGCGTGCGCCCACGCGCGTGCAAGCCCGCCAGCCGCGGCTGCTCCCCGTCGTGCGCGCGCCCCGCGCACCGGCGTGCCGTCCTCGCCGATGCCGATGCTGAGGTCGCTGTTGCCGCAGCCGACATGCAGCGCGGGCGCGCCCGGCAGCGCGAGCGCGGCGCGCAGCAGCGGCCTCAGCGCGTGGTACGAGAAGAACCAGTCAAAGTGGGCGGGGCCGGTGCGCGAGGAGTAGCGGCCGTCCCAGTACGACCCAGCGGAGTACATCGCGCGCTGAGCAAGGGCCGCCGCCGCCACAGAGGGCGAGCGCGGGGCCGCGGGGCCCGAGCCCGCAGACGGACCCGTGGCGGTGGACGGCCTGGCCGTGACTCGCACCGGCGGCGGGGGCGCAGGCGGCGGCTGCGGCTGCGGCTGCGGCTGCGGCTGCGGCGCCGCGGCCGCGGGCAAGTTGGTGCTGCCGGCGTCGCTGTTGCTGGCGCCGCTGCCGGGCCCGGTCATGTCACTGGCGGCCGTGATGCAGCCACTGCTGGTGCTGGCGCTCGAGGCGCCAGCGCCCGCGAGGCTGCTGCTGGGGCTGGCCCTGCTGGCGCTGGCGCCTGCGCTGGAGCCGCCCGAGCTCGCGAGGCTGCTACTTAGGCTGGCCCTGAACGCGTCGCGGGCGCCGTCGCCGGCCACGCGCCACGGGCCAAGCCCCGTCGCTGCGGCCTGGGCCTGGGCCTCGGCAGCGGCCTCAGCCGCAGCCTTGAGAAGGCCGGCGCTGGCACCGACGAGGGGGACTGCACTGGGCTGCACAGAGAGCATGGCGCCGGCACCGGCGGCGCTGCTGTTGACGCTGCCAGGGGGGACGCCGCCGGTGGGCGGTGGGGGGCGCGTTGCCAGGGTGCCCGCAAGGGGGGCCGACCCACGCGCAGGCCTTGGGCCCGGGAGTTGCCCGCGAGGCGACCGGCAACCGCGTGCTCTCCAGTCCCTGCGCGGTTGGCGGCAAAGGGCGAAACAGGGGATGCGAGCGCTCCATTACAGCTATCGTGCTGATCCGCTGCGACGCTGGCAGGAGCGGCCAAAGCGGCCGACGAATATCGCCCAAACTCGTCAGCCGGGCAAGCTCGCGCGGTTGCGGCGAGCGTGGCGCCCAGCTGAGGCCTGCGCAGAGTCTAACACCGCACTCAGTCACAGGCCCCAGGGCGATTGCAGGCCACGCTAGCAGAGAACAAGAGCTTCTCCGCACCACCCGAGTATCCATCAGCCAACACGCAGGCTGCTGTGGCAGCACATGGAGTGCTTTCATCAACATTACGGTGGAGCTGCAACACAAGCAGCCCCACGAAACCGTGCGATCATGCCCCCCTGGCGCCAACAAGCCCCAACGGGCTCCCACGCACCGGCACACTGCCGAAAAGCGCTGTATCACGTTTCAGCAACCCTCGCTGCGCCCGTTCTTTGCTGCTCCTGCTGGATTTGCCAGTCCCACGTCTGTCGAAGACGCCGAGTTTGCTTGCACTCTGTATTCATAGCCAAGCGAAAATTTGATTTTGACACCAGCTTTGCGGGCCGCACAAGCTTGGATCACAGCCTTACTCATGGGACGCATGAGGATGCAATCGTGCTCTGTGGGCCTGCAAACGTGCGCTCATGTGCTGCAATCAATTTCATGGGCTGCCTAGATGCTTATGTCGTTGCCCCTGCTGTTACACCAAGGCCGTGACGTCTTCGGCCCGGCCGTGCCGGCAACCTTGCGCTGGCTCATCATCAGGCTGCAACCCCTCGCACTCTGGTGTACTGGTCGCCAGCCTTGGTGCCTCGGTGCCCTCCACTGCAGATCCATCCTGCTCATGATCACCTCCCTCATCACAGCTTACACAGAGCAGTCCACACACAAGGTGGCCCTGCACCTTCTGGTTGTGAGTGCTTGCCGTGGGCAGCCAAATCACCACCCTCGCCGCGGCACTCTCTACCGCTGCGCTGTCTCTCTATACACACACGAAATCACACACCACATCAGAAACAGAAAGCGGCGTTTTGCAGCACGGCGCGCCACGATCAAGGCGGAAAGCAACCACACAGTGGCATGTCCGCACACAAGAGGCACTTGCCCTGCTCGTTTCAGCTGGGCAAGCGCGCGTGGGCCAGAGGACTCGTGCAAGCGCAAAACGGCATAAGGCCGTGGCACAGCTCAAAGAACGCAAGCCGAACTGCCCCCGCCCACTCCCGGGGGGATTGCGGGTGAGCGGGGTCGGTCACACCTACTGCCTGCGCAGCCCCGAGGTCGCAGCTGCCGCCACCACAGCAGGCACGCGCCCGGCCTGCCGCACCGCCGATGGCTGAGGTTGCAGGGTGGTGGCGCTGCTGCTGCCGCCGCTGCAGCCCGCAGCAGGGCCCCTGTCATAGGCGACTGTCGCCACGGGGGCCCCCGCACCCGCACGAGACGACACGGCTGGCAGGGGCACAGAGGCTGCGCCTGGGCTGCTGGCCCCCTCTGCAGGCGGGGTGCTGCCAGTGCCGCCGCTGCCGTTGCTGTGGCCCGAGCTGCTGCCATTGCTGTCCAGTGGAGTGACGCTGCTGCATGTGCTGCCGTCGGCTTCAGCCACAACCACCAGGCCTGGGAGCATCAAGTTGGGCGCTGCTGCCCCCTCTTGCGCCAAGTCGCGCCTGGCGCTTGAGCTGGTGCCCTTGACACCGTTGCTGACTGCCCTGACGCCGTTGCTGCTGCCGCTGCTGCTAGTGGTGCTGCCAAGGCTGCTGATTGTCGCGGGCGCGCTCACAGCGCCAAGGCCTCCGCTCTCGCCGCTGCCACCGCTGTTCGCACCACCGCCAGCCGCACCGACAAAGCCGCACCCGCGGTTGCGCGCCGCGCCACCCTTGCCCAGCGCCGCCGCCTGCTCCGCACCCCACAGCCGCGTGCGGCCGCCCCCTTCGTCCAGCAACAACCCTCCGCACGGCTGCCGCTGCAGCCGCCGCCCGTCCGGGAAGCCGCCCAGCAGCAGCTGCAGGCGTGCCGCCACGCCCTTGGGCAGGCGCTGCCAAGACGTGCGGTCGCCGAGAGTGCCCCAGTGCTCCACCGCGTCCAGATCTGGCTGGGCCGACTGGAAGTGCACCAGGACGTCCGCAGACCGCAGCCAGGGGTGGCCCCGCAGCAGCTCCTGGTCCGCAAACAGGAGCGTGTCGAGGACCTGGGAGCGCGGCCAAAGGGGACAAGGGCTCGGCTGAGTGGACGAAACGCGTGCGAGCGTGAGGGGGTGGCGGACGGAGGTTGCAGGAGAGGAGCCGCGATCGCGCGCCGCCGGCATGGCGGTATCGGAGGGGGGGCCTCATTGACGGAAGACAGGAGGGAGGCACCCAGGCGCCTGGGGCGTCGAGCGGCGGTATGTGCGCCATAAGTGCGGTACGCACGCTCACCAGAGTCATTTCCCGCCTGAAAATAAAGTTGCGCAGCTGCGGCGGCGCTAGCCACCGCTCCTCGCCGCTGACGTGGCAGAAAACGTGCAGCGATGGCCTGTGGTCCGCCGCGCCCCCTCTGCCGCTGCTGCTCACACCACTGCCGCTGTCTCGCCGCCGCCGTGCCTTGCCCGAGCCAGTGCCACCGTTGAGGCCGATCGGTACTTCCTGCTGCTGCTGCTGTTGCTGCTGCGGCTGCTGTTCCGCCGTGCCGCCACCAAAGCGCCACTCGGCGACCACCTCGTCGCGCAGCACGCGGGTGTACAGGTTCCGCACCTGGCGCGCGTTGAACTTAGCGCCTATCGACAGCTGCAGGGCGCCTGTGATGTCATTGTGCGTGAGGGTGTAGCGGCGCGCGCACGGCGGAGCGGGGCCCTGCGCATCGGCGCCTGGCAGGAACTCCACCGAAAGCTTGGATGGCTGGAACGCTGGTGGCTCAAAGAGCGCGTTGGACACCTGCAGACGCGAATGAGCGAAAATGAGCTCCTGTTGACAGCGGTCCACTCAGAAATCGCTGATTTCTGAATGTGATCCACCACTCGGGACGCACCTGGACGGTGAGAGCTCGCCTCCCATGCCTGCCAGAGGTGCTGGTGTAGCTACTGCTGTTATTGAGTCTGTTTTGACAACGCTTGGAGGCCTGGTTGTGCAGTGCCCTGCCAATGGCTGGGACCCTCCACAGCTCAGGGCCGCGCCCTGCCACGCCTGCGCGCCCGCAAGAGCATCTGCGCTGCATCTTAGGCACGCAGAGTTTTTTTTCTAGGTACGCTAGAACCCGACTCTACAGGCGTGAGGTCTCGAGGGCATGGTCGTGCCTGGTGCTCAGCACGAAGGCCGTCGTGACTAGCTTGACAAACCCCTTCCTGTGGCGAACTCTGTCCGAAAGGGTATGCACTGCACAGCCCGAGCTCTGACGCGGCACCGATTGCACGCGCGCCGAAACGCTGCCTCCCGAGCTCCCACTGCTGCGTCCAGGAGACACGCGCGCAGATCGCGGCAGTTCGATACCTCAGATGCGGCAGCGGTGCTACAGTGCAGCATTCACGCACAATTGGGCCGTTGGCAGACTAGGGTGCGGTGGGATCGCGCCTAGAGAGCTGGGTTACTCGTCGTCATCATCGAGCACCTGTGGGTGCTGCGGGGCCGACTGCTGCAGCAGCTCCTGGTCCGCCTCCAGCCGTATCCGCAGGACCTCGTCCAGAGTGCCGCTTCGGGGATGAGTCACCTGGGTGGGGAGGGGTGACGTGCGGCGGCGGCCACGCAGGGCGGGCACAGGTGGAGCGCGGCAGTGACGGCGGGCGCATGGGTACCGTGTGGCAAGGGCAGGGGGCGCCCCTTGCCCTTGTCATGAGAAAGGCGCGTCGTGGGGTTTTGGGAGCGGTCATGCAGGGGCCTAGCCTGCTCATACTAGTCGGCGACGCTCCGCTCCCAACTCAAGCCCGCACGCGTGCGTTCGCACGTGCACGCACTCGAGCATCCGCACTGAGTGCATCCAGCCATGCGCACGCGCCCCACCCTCAGGATCTCGGCCGCCCGCTCCGCCGAGGCGCGCGCCGCCGCGGGCTGCTCCAGCAGCATCTGCAGCTTTGCCAGCAGCGCATGGTGCAGGCCCAGGTTGGGCCACACCTGCTCCAAGGTACGCCGACAGGGTCGCGCGGCGACAAGGGGGGCCGCCTGTCGGGTGCTACGAAGGGAATCAGGACGGTGCGCTTTGGATGATTGTGTTGGGGCCGGACGGGCGCGGGATCCCTGTGCAACATCCCAATTCCATTTCTCTTGGGTCTGCTTGACACGCGGGATTGTCGATTGTCGAAGCTGCACACACACACAGATCGCTCACCCGCGGGTAGGCGGCCTCGTAGCAGGGCGCCAGCGCCTCCGCCGCCGCCAGCGCCGCTGACCACCTGTCGCCGGCCGCGACGCACGCGTTGAGCAGCGCCGCCAGGAGCCGCTGACGCAGCACGTGCCGCGGGCCCAGCGCCACCACAGCCGGGATTCCGGCCTGCGGCCGCCCCGCCGTCGCGCCTGCCGCGCTCGCCCAGGGGCCCCTTGGGAGGCAGCCCGCGGCTCGCAGCGCGGCCGTGAGGGCGTCAGCTGCACCGCCGCTGTCGCCCGCGCTGCTCAGCCGCTCAGCGTCTGCTTGAAGCCGCAGCACGGCGCGCAGCTGCCGCGCAGCCGCCTCCGGAAGCTGGGGCGCGCCTGCCAATCCACAGAGCCCCGCTGACGCCTGCGCCCCAACTGCGTCCCAATCGCCCCACTGCAGCGCGACCACGCCACCGCCCCAGCCCGCGCCCTGGGCCGCTTCGCCCGCCGCCGCTGCCGGCGTTGGTGACGCCCCTCCGCCCTCCTCGTCGTCCCCAGCCCCCGGCCCCGTTGGGAAGCTGCCGCTCGCCGGCCCGAGGCCTCCATCCTCCCCGCCGCCCTCGCCCCCCTCGCCGCCCTGCAGCAGCAGCAGCATGCCCCCCGGCAGCGCCGCGCCGGCGCCGCCCGCGGCCGGCGGCGGCAGTAGCACCTCGCACATCGCGGCATCAGGGGGATCCTCCCGCCAGGGCGGCCGCGGGGACGGGCCAAAGCAGTGTAGCCAGAAGCCGCCGCCGCCGCCGCCGCCTGCCCCCTCAGGCGGCTCTAGCAGATCAGACCGAGCGGGCGCTGCGCCCCACACAAGCGCGCCTCCAGCTGCGTGCCCGACGGCGCCTGTGGCCACCTCAGCGATGCCACCGCCGCCCCCGTCAGCTGCATTCTCTCCGCGGCCGTCCCTATCACTTCCGCCAGCTGCGCCGCCGCTACCCAATCGCGTGCTGCCGCCGCCTGTCTCGCGGCCGCCGTCGTCGCCGCCGCCGCAACCGCTGGGCTCGTGTGCGCCGCCCGCCGCAAGGGATGCATCACAGTCGAAGAAGTACTGCCGCCGCAGCTGCAGCTGGCGCTCGACTCGCGGCGTCGCGAGCTCCACATAGGCTATGGTCACCTCCTCGCCAGGCGAGATGGCCCTCAGCGCCCTGCATTTGGGGGGTGAAAGGGGGTGTACGCAACTGCGGTTGGGCATGGGGCTGCGCCTCGTCGTGTGCGAGTGCCCGGGAGGGGCGTGTGGGGTCGCACCCGGTCGGGCCTGCGGGCGGGGCGGTGTTGCCATCCGAGACATGACGCAGCGGCTCGAGCGACGTCCGATCAGGCCCCGTGGACATGCAGCATCGCGCCCTCTTGAGCATGGGCGCCCGCCGATGAACGCACGCGCACGCAAGAGCACACACATGCGCACGCGCGTGCCCACACACACGCGCGTGCCCACACACACACGCGTGCGCACACACACGCGCGCGCGCGCGCGCACCTGAACTCGATGTCCGCCCCCCTGAACCCCTGCACCGCGTTTGGGCTGTCCCCGTGGTTCACCATAGCCCCGAGCGGGTACAGCCCCACACCATAGGGCCGCAGCTCCTCGTCGCACGCGGTGTGGGCGTTGCAGGCGAAGCGCGCTAGCAGCAGCGCGGCCTGCCGCACGTCAATGCCCGCTCCTCCATCGCCGCCGCCGCCGCCGCCACCCATCATGTACTCCCTTGACGTGATGGGGGGCAGAACAGGGGTCGACATGAGGGCCACCACCGAGCAGGGAGGGCGCAGGCAAGTGCCACACGCCCACAAGACACAGCGCGCCTGCTGACAGGCGGCTGCCCCGGCTACCTGCCCTCCACCGCCAACAGGCCGCATGCCTAAAAGCCCCCCGGGCCCCCGCCGTGCCCGCCGCACCTGGCAAGGGCGGCCATCTGGGCATACGCCACCTTGCGGCCGGCCCCCAGCCCGTCCCAGTGAGTCACCAGCGCCTCCACGTCGCCCCAGCACCCGCCGTCCTCGGCCGGGGCGTGAGGGCGCCGCTGCGCCTCCCTGCGCCGCCGCGGGATGCAGGCGGGGCGTCCCGCGTTGGCGCCTGCTGGCGCCACTGTTGCCCCGGGTTTGATCAACACGCCCATTCGTTCGCTCAGGCATGAGCACAAGAGGGGGCTGCAAAGCCCTGAACACGGGGAAGGACCCCCTCACCTGGCCATCCGCCACAGCGCTCGTGCCAGCATGCGCACCGTCGGCGGCGGCACGCGCGGCGCGCACGCGCTCAGCGCCGCGCACTCCTCTCTGTGGCTGCCGCCCCATGCCACTCGCTGGTGGTCTGCGCAGCAGTAGCGGGCCAGCTTGCAGCGCGAGCAGCGCAGGGGCCGCGCGCAGACGCGCGCGCAGTGATCGCAGCGCAGGGGCAGCTGCGCAGGGGCGGGGCGCGCAGGGCAGGGCGGTGGCGGGATACAAGGGTGGGGTAGGCCGAAGGACGGCGTCGGTCGTTGAAGGGCAGCCGGTGCCTGAACAATTGCCGCCGCTGCTTGGGTGTGCATGGCACCCAATCGCGTCACAAGGCGTACATTCCAGGCATTGGGTGCCCGGTCTTGAGGGCGTCGATGTGGCCGCTGCCTGACGGGTGAGCACAGCACCCGCCCAGCACCACAGCACGCCCACGATGCAACCGCCGGTAGGTGCACCTGGTCATCTTGGAGGACCCAGCAGTAGCTAGACTGCCTTAGGATGACCTCAGAAGCCTGTATTGATGCGCATGCGACCACCCCTCTGCCCAGCGCCCCGCCCAGATCTCTAACTTCGGCCTTTTGCATCGATCCGTGTATACGTGAGTGTATGTACGGCTTTGCATCTGATTTTTTTGCTGCACGGACGGGCTGTGGCTTTTCCACGCACATTCCATTTGGTGTCACCCACTGCAGGCCGCCGCCAGTGTCTCATCAGTCCCATTGCCGCCACCGTCAACTTCCATCACGCTAGCCAGGGTACCGCATCACTTGAGACGCCCGCTAGTGATTTGCGTGCCTGATTGTGTCTGTGCCCTGACTCACCTCGCAAGGGCACGCGAGGAGCATCTTGACTGGTTACCAGCGAACATGTTCGGTTTCGCGCCCAAATTCTGCCTCCTGCCACTCCACCCACCCCCACAGGCGTACCA